CTCTCACACACACACACACACACACACACTCACAGAGGGGCTGTTTCCAGTTTGAGAGCATATGGAGGATCAGGAGCTTCCAGGCAGGAGCGCATCTGGTATCGCATGACGGATGAGGGTTTCAGTGCAACTGCCCAGATCCATGATCTGCAGCTGGCAGCGCATAGCTCCAGGTGCACTCTGGCAGTTTTGTCCTTTTCAACAAAAAAGGACTACTTGTCCTTCACCGTTCTGAAGAAAAAACTTCAACCTTTCGACCATGAGCGGACCACAGTCTTTTGCCCCTTGGACATAAGGACATTTTTTCTTCCATGCTTTTTGCAGTGTTTCTCGACGTTTTGCTCCCACAATCTCCATTCCTCCGTGATTTTGACTATTCCGCAGGCACTATTCCTGCATCATGTTCTTTTGTCTCTCATTTCTTTTTCGTTTACTCCAATCCTTGATTATAAATGAATGACAAGGCTGGTTCAAAGCCATCTTTTATTATAAATGAACGACAAGGCAGGTCCAATCTTTGATTATTCTGCGCTCCACAAATCACACGGCGCTAGAAAGAGATCCACTTAAAACAACCACTGCCCCCAGCCAAAATTGTTGAGCCTTAAACTGTCAAACCTTAAATTATTGAGCCCTTCTTGTCCCACACAAGTGGAAATGCCGGAGCTTCTGGTGACAAATTGGCCTACCGTCTTCACCCGAATAGAACGCCTGGTCATTATAGCTGTATTTGGTCCAACTTTCAGTCCAGATACGGCAATAATGACCGGGTGTTCTATTCGGGTGAAGACCGTAGGCAGTGGCACTGAAGTCTAGTACGTTTCATGACGCCACTCGCAATATTGGGAAATGTCTGTCTGCATCCCTCCCTGAAACACAGATAGGACTGTGGGGTAGCACGAGGCTTTTGCAAATGGATAATAGCGTTGAGCCATTGTGGAGAATGCATTTTGTTCTCAGAATGTGAGCTGGGACTGATGAGAGAGAACAGATGGCAGGCAATACTTCGGAGGAGTACAAGCCCACTGTAGCTTTGCAAGGCCAGAAGAGAGACAGGAGAGCTGGGTCAGATCAGAGCGCGAAGATGATGGGTATGTTACGATCCTCGCCAATTTCGAAGTACAAATTCATGAGAAAGCACAATGTCGTACAATTGCAAAAAGAAATGAATGGACTTGAGGGGAGAGAGGAGGGAAAGAAGAAGAAGGAGAAAGAAAGAAGAAGAAGGAGAAAGAAAGAAGAAGAAGGAGAAAGAAAGAAGAAGAAGATGTACATTGTACACCAGCAAAGACCAATGATAATTCCCCTTCCTCTTGCCAACCAATCTCCTCCTCATTTTAACAGTAGGAGGAGAATATGGAGGACAGTATGTGGGGTCATTTTCATTGAAGGTGAGGTCATGATTGTGTGCATCTCTCCTTCCTCTTGCCACGGCGTTAGTCCGGTCAACCCTGCTGGGCAACATGTGAACTCCGCCAGTTGTACATTTTCTGGGTAGGGCAGCAGTCAGTCGAGACCGTGCTCAGTGTGAGCAGTTTGGGCAGGGTCACTGTCGCTCACAATGGGAATGGTCTGAGTGGACCGCCACTCCAAAAAATCACAACTGGTGGCGCCTGAGTGACTCCGTTGTTCTTTAGCTGAAATCTTGGTACCATTCTCTCAAGTTATCGATCAAAAACGAAATTCCCGGCTGTTATCAGATGACTCAAATCGGCCGCCAGCACACCAATCAGGTGTCGGGGATGGGTCCAATTTTTTACTGGCCATGTGGTGCTTGTGAAAAAATTCCCAAAAAACAGAAAAGGAGGGAGAAAGAGAGCTTTTGTGCAAGCCCTGGTTACCCCACCCAGGGTTTCTCAAAGGCGCTGCATGCCGGACAGCCTCATTAGAACCTGACTAGAAAAGAGTTGTGAGGCGTCAGAAAGTGGTCTCTGAAAGGTCCCCTCACCAGGCTGCAACACCGATGATTTTAAGAGTCCTGCCAGTCCTCAAAGGGCCCTCCAATTTCTGAGACCCGCAAGGGAACTTGTTCGTTCGGGAGGCCCCAAGGGCCGGTGGTTACCTGTGGCCGTGACTTTGATGGTTGCAGCGGGGAAAACACTCGGGAGTAGGCCCGTGACACTTTTGAGCAGTGGGAAAAACACTCAAGTAGCAGGTAGGCCGGTACCACTCAAGTAGCGGTAGATGTGCCAGGGACGGGAGGCCGAGCAGAAGCACACAAAAGTTGGCATTTTTAGAGGCCCAGTAGTTGTAGGCTAGGTCTAGGCGGTTACCAGTCCAAATAGTCTCGAGTCTGGGGCCTGTACGGGCGATATCAGAGTCTGCAATGATGTTTCCCTCCGAAAGGGAGGAGTTACCGGTTGCTTGGAGGCCGCACGGCCCGTAAGTCACCACCCAAGAAGCAAGTTGGCCGCTATATCTCCAGGAGGAGCGAAGTTTGCTACGTGCAAGTTTGGACGACACGCAGCTGGAGCACGTGGTGGAGCAGTGCTGGTCTGGAGCAGCACTGCTGGGGAAGGTGGAGACCTTTGCTATGGTGGAGGTGCTAGGGGTTGGAGGAGGAGGAAGAAGGGGGCTAAGGGAGGAGCGCCAGGGGTACTTACCTGCCTATGGTGGACGCCATCTTCATCACCTTGGTTGGCGCTGCATCTGGAAGACCCCCGTTGGGGTAGAGCGGCATCAAGCTTCAAGGAAGAGTCAGGCATTGCGACCTGAGTAGGAGCAGCCATAGCTGCTTTGTGTTGTCTTTTGCACGTCAGGGCAAGGCCCTAGTAGTCCACCATAGCCTCGGCCTTCAAGAAGAGGAAGGAGAAGGGCAGCCGTGACTATGGTGGACCTCATGTTGTGCCTGCAGTAGAAGAGGGATTCAGGCATTGATTCTGGTTTGGCCATTCATCATTATTATTATTATTATTATTTATTGTGGCCAAGAGCCTGCAAATCTGCACCAAAACCTAAGCATTGGAGACTGAAAGGATAGCATCATATCCGGAAACATCGCACAAATCCATGAGGCACTTTTAAGTGGCACTCCATACCATGTATACTTTGCCATAAAGTGAAAAGTAGAGCGTGATATTTCCTCTTCCTCCTTTTGTGATTTTTCCCCATGTTCAGATTGCAACCCTCCCCCGGGCCCCACGAGAAGCACTCGGACCGGCACGCACAGACACAGACTTAGAAAACTCAGCAGAGTGCGGGAATCTAAGCAAGGCATACATTCCAGCGGCAAAACCCAGCAATCAGCAGTGTTCTCAGTCTGCGTTTTGGCGGGTCATTACACATGCCTTTTCCAGTCTTTTCACGTATCATTTTTTTATCCATATTTTGGGAAAAACGATACAGTTGAGTATGCCCTAACTCACTCACGGTCCTTGCTTCCATTGCTAAGGAAGATGTACGCATGGATCATCTCGTGCAGCAGTGTCTGCTTCATGTCGATCACTGGCCGATACTTCAACAGCGGTTCCGACAGCTTGATCTGGCACCCACCTCCCCTCTGAAACTGGCAGACCCCTGCACAGCTGGATAATAATCACAAAACAAGCATGTTTCACCCACCTCGCCTCTGAACTGGCAGACCTCTGCACAGCTGGATAATAATCACAAAACAAGCATGTTTCACCCACCTCCCCTCTGAAACTGGCAGACCCCTGCACAGCTGGATAATAATCACAAAACAAGCCTGTTTCAAATTTCAATCTATCGTTTCCTTGAACCTCATTAAGGCTTCGTCCAGATTCCTTTCTTAAACTCTCTTTCTATAACAGCTTGCCGTTCTTTCTCCGGGCTCCTCCTTTTACCACCGCATGTTCACATCAAGTCAAAACTGAATGTACCTGAGGTCATCCGTGACCAGGTTCGTTCGAAGGTACCACTACGTAATAATACCAGAGCGACAACCGTCCTCATCCCTACGGGCCAACTTTCAGTCTACATACAGCGATACTGACCGGGCCTCCAATTCAGGCAAAGACGGTAAGCTCGGTGTAAATACGCTCAGCCCGACTGCGCCCTCTATCACTTGTCGGTTTGAAACATAACTAGGACACCAACACAGGCAGAGGATAGTAAATGTATCTGCCCCTAAGCATGACCAGATTCACCCAAAGATAGTCTTAGTGCGATCAGATGAAATGTCCGATACTGTCCAGTGATCAGATTAATCTCGGTGAGACAGCGGACACAAACTCACACGACCAAAAACACCGACCGTATCCAACCCCAATAATGATCACATTCTCTCAAATATACTCCAAATACATCGTCCAACAGATTGCCAGGTGGTGATACCCAATACATACCCACCCACCCCATCTAGCCTCCGCCCGAAGCTAGCACGGCCCGACCATGACACCGGACTCTTGTTCTTTTAGTTGCTGCATTCCACCTGATTCCATTACGATCCCAATCCAATCATGGTCCCGATCCCATTGCAATCCGGATGGCATTACGATCCCGCTCCAGTTATGATCCCGATCCCATGACGATCCCAATCCCTTGACCATCCCGTTCCTGACGAAATGCGGTCGGGTACTTCGCCATTAGCAGACTTAATTCTATATATTGTCACACTGTGAATCGGAGCGCAAAGGCGGAAAAAAGCAAAACAAGGAAAGGAAAAGAAGGAAGGAAAGCCCCAGCTGTTCATCACCTCTTACGTACAAGGCCAGCCACGTGGATGACAGGTTGAGCGCTGGCTGCCCCCATAACCACAGCCGGGGTTA